GAGTTCTGTCTCAATCTGTCTACACGGGCACACGGGTGTCCCCCAGGAGGCTGCTGCAGTGTAGACCCCATAGACAGGGTTCTGACTCACTCTGTCTACACGGGCACACGGATGTCCCCCGGGGGCTGCTGCGGTGTAGACCCCATAGACAGGGTTCTGACTCACTCTGTCTACACGGGCACACGGATGTCCCCAGGGGGCTGCTGCAGTGTAGACCCCATAGACAGGGTTCTGACTCACTCTGTCTACACGGGCACACGGATGTCCCCCGGGGGCTGCTGCGGTGTAGACCCCTGGAAGACCCCCAGCACCCAGAGCAGACACCTTAGGCCCTGGCTGGCTGGGGCAGGAGCCCGGCATGGAGGAAGGAGCGCCCGGAGCCCCGGTCCCTTGTTCTGTCACTCACCCGCTCTGCACGGGCACCGTGCTGGGCCGAGCCGCCCCTCCCGGCACAGCGTCTCTGAGGAGGTCTTCACTAGACACACAGGCACTTGCACACTCACACACTCACACTCATGCACATGCACACACACATACACATACACTCACACACACATGCACACACACATACACACATGCACACTCATACTCCACATACACATGCACACACATGCATACACATACACTCATACACACATTCATACACATACACACATGTACACACGCATACACATACACTCATACACAGGCACACATGCACACACATGCACACACCCATACACATACTTGCACATACACACGCACACTCACGCATACACATACACTCATAACACATTCATACACAGGCACACGCACACGCACACTCATACACATACTCGCACATACACACACACATACACACATACACATGCACACACGCACACAGTCACACATACACACGCACACATGCACATACACTCACATATACGCACGCACACACATACATACTCGCACACACACGCATACACTCATACACATACACGCACATACACACACATGCACACACAGAGATACACATACACTCATACACATTCATACACATACACTCACGCATGCACACATACATGCACACACTCATACACATACACACACGCATACACGCACATACACATGTACACACACATACACACATTCACACACGCACACTCATACACATACACAAGCACACACACACACGCACACACGCACATACACTCACACATACACTCTCATACACACACGCACATTCATACACACACTCACACACGCGTCCCAGGCTCGGAGGTGAGGCGCGCACAGATGGGGGCCGCCAGCCGCGCACGGAAGCCCACTGGCTCCGCTCCCTCGGGTCTGCAGGGAGAGGAGCAACGGCACCGTCACAGCCAAGGCGCACAGATGAAAGTGACGAACGCCGCCAGCCAGCGGCCCTGCACAGACGCGGCTGCCTCAGCCCGGGCCGCGGGGGGGGGGCTTCAATATTTAATGGCAGAGGCTCGGGGAGGCGCGGGGCCTGGCCAGGAGCAGCGCACCAGTCTCTGGGAAGCATTACTTATTCAGAACTCGCCGGGAACCGCGGCGGCGCCGTGCCGGCTGCCAGCACAGGCCCAGGTTCTCCGTGCCATCCTTGAGGGCCCTGGGGCCGGCAGGGGCTCAGCACAGCAGTCAGTCAGAGCCATGCTTGCTTGCTTATTTGAATCACACATTTTTATTGTGCATGTTGTGTGTGTGAGAGAGAGAGCCTTCTACCCACTGGCTCACTCCCCCGATGCCCCCAACAGCTGGGGCTGGGCCAGGCAGAGGCCGGGAGCCTGGAGCTCCGTCCAGGTCTCCCATGCGAGCAGCAGGGGCCCAGCACCTGAGCTAACACCTGCACCCTCCCGGTGTGCGTGGTCAGCAGGGAGCCAGACAGGAGGCAGAGCCGGGACCCAGCCAGGCAGTGTGATGGGGGAGGCAGAGTCAGGACCCAGGCAGGCAGTGTGACGGGGGAGGCAGAGCCAGGACCCCCTTCAGGCAGTGTGACGGGGGAGGCGGAGCCAGGACCCAGCCAGACAGTGTGACGGGGGAGGCAGAGTCAGGACCCAGGCAGGCAGTGTGACGGGGGAGGCAGAGCCAGGACCCAGCCAGGCAGTGTGACGGGGGAGGCAGAGCCAGAACCCAGCCAGGCAGTGTGACGGGGGAGGCAGAGCCAGGACCCCCATCAGGCAGTGTGACGGGGGAGGCAGAGCCAGGACCCCCATCAGGCAGTGTGACGGGGGAGGCAGAGCCAGGACCCAGCCAGGCAGTGTGACAGGGGAGGCGGAGCCGGAACCCAGCCAGTGTGTGATGGGGGAGGCAGAGTTAGGACCCCCATCAGGCAGTGTGACGGGGGAGGCGGAGCCGGGACCCCGCCAGGCAGTGTGACGGGGGACGTGGGCATCCCGAGCACCCTCTCCAGGGCCAGACGCTCACCCTGATGTCGACACCAGCGCCGGCCCAGCACTGCTAACTGAACTGCGCGTGCACGGGGTGTGTGTGTGTGTGTGTGTGTGTGTGTGTGTGTGTGTGCTTCCCCGTCCTCCCGCTCCCACGCTGCCCCTGCCGGTCCCCCGAGATGCAGGGTCTCTCCTCCGGGCCAGGAGTCTGAGCGTCTGTCACCAGCTGAGCTGTGTGAGGCTGGGTGTGACGGGGGAGTGGGTGGGGCTCCGTGCTGGGGAGAGACTCCAGGGCGGGGGCTGGGGGGCGTTCTCGCCGGCGTCCTGGCTGGCTTCCCCAGGTTTTCGTCTGCACCTGGAGCCACCCAGAGCCCACCCGGCCCCCTCACTGGACAGAGGGCTCAGCACAGGTCCGCGTGACCGTGCTCAGAAGGGCTCTGAAGCGGACGCCCCGGCTCTCGGCGTCAGCCGAGGCTGGGCCCACGGGGGCAGGGCGGCCCCGAGGGGTTCCGGGTGCCGAACAACATCCCTGCCCCCAAAAGAAGAGACGCAGCAGGAACCTCAGGCCAGCCCACGCCCCTCAGCGGCTCCCGAGAGCGGCTCTGCCCTCCCGCAGGGCCTCTGCTCACCAGGGCCGTCTGCTGCTGCTTTCCCAGGTGCACCGGCAGGGAGCTGGATGGGACTCGAACCGGCGCCTGTATGGGAGTGCCGGCCCCATATCCAAACGTAATTAACCTGGAAACTGGAATCCTACAGCAGTGACGTGGTGGACATTTGACGTTCCTGAAAGGCCTGAGAAGTGGACATCCTGCACCAGCTCTAAGAAAGGCGACGTGCACCCAGGAGTGGGATGACTTAGGGCTCCCACGCGCACGCCACTGCCCAGTAGATCCTCCCGGGAGACAGGGAGGGCTCTGACTGTCGGCACCGTGGCACGGGCTGGAGGAAGGGCAGGGGTCTGCTGCAGAGCCGGGTGCTGAGAGGTGGGCACAGAAGCAGCAGGTGGAGTGACCGGCACTAGGCACAACCAGCCAACACACGGACCAAGCAGTAAGCGCAGGTGGGGTGAGGGCTGGGTCCAGGGCCAGGAGGGGCCTGCGGGGGCCGGGCTGGGTTCATTGCTCACCAGAGCCGGTTCCGAACAGTCCCGGCTGCCCCACTTCCGCCCAGCGCCCTGCTGATGCTCCTGGGAAGATGGTCGGAGGATGTGACCCCCTGCAGCCTGTGCGGAGCTGGGTGGGGCTCCTGGCTCCTGGCCTGGCCCAGCCCCCGATGCTGTGGCCATCTGGGGAGTGGACCAGCTGCTGGAAGATCTCTGTCTCTAACTCTGCCTTTCGAATAAGTAAACCGTAAGAAAGCAAAGAGCCTGGCGATGCAGGATTGAAAGCGAAGTTGGGGTTAGGGATTTTAAATACAAATCCGACATAGTGATAGGTGGGTCACGCGGATGTCAACATGCTAACACACACGCCCGTGTCCACCGAGGGCCCAGAAGCACAGCCCACACCCACGTCTTGGATTCTAAACCCCACGCTCCACCACGGGGACCCCCGCTCCGGGGACAGGCGGCGGATTCCCGGCGAGGAAGGCCGAGGGCTCTCACTGACCCGGGGAAGGGCCTGGCCTCTGCAGGCCGCAGCGGTGACGCGGGCACCCCCACGGAGGAGGCCGGCACAGGGTGACGACGCGCTCCTGGCACGTTGTCCGCAGCACGCTGGCCGCCCACAGACGAGAAGGAGCTCGGCAGGGCGGGCCTCCTGGGCGCCAGCGGCTCCGGGTCGGGTCGCGAGGATAAGGCAGCCCCTAGACGCGGCGCACCCAGAACGCGGCCCCGCTTCCGCGCCGGGCCTGTCCGGTCCCGAGAGGACCGGGGCAGCGTCCGAGTGGCCCGGGCGCGGGCGGGGAGCTCCCGGGTGCGGCACCTGCTGCCTGGGCGTCCTGAGCAGCAGACGAGCCCGTGTGCCCCGATCGCACACTTCCTGCCGTGCAGGGAGTCTGCCCGCTGCGATGCGCCCACAGCCCGGGAGCCTGCGCGCAGAGCCCACAGCGAGGACGGCGCCAGGCCGAGCCCCGGCTGCTCCACTCGGATCCGGCTCCCCCGGGGGAAGATGGCCCAGCCGTGTGGGAGGCCCGGGTGAAGCTCCTGGCCTCAGCCCGGCCACTGCAGCCCCGTGGGGAGTGACCAGCGGGCAGAGGACCCCCCTCCCCGTCTCCCTTCCTCGCTCTGTCCCTGCAGGAAAGGACGTTGGCCCACGCGCTTGGGCCCCCGCTCGGGGCACCTGGAAGCAGCTCCGGGCTTAGCCGTGGCAGCGGACAGAGACCTTTCTGTGTTTGGTCCTCCAGCCCCGCCATTTCCGCTAAGTCAAATAAATCCAAAAGCACAGGTCGGGCGGGGCCTGAGTGGCCCGCTGTGGACGCCCACGCCAGGTCTGCAGCACCCACGCACCGCCCCCCCCAGCCGGGCAGCCCGGCGGCGCCTCTGGAACCTTCTGGAGCCCAGCGCCGGCCGGGACTTCAGGGGGCGGGGGCCGGGCCACGGGGCGGGGGCGCACGGACGGCAGCCGCGGGCGACGTGTTGCATGGGGGGGTCTTTTCTCTAAGTTTGGAATTACTTCGAGACTACATTAACTTAACAAAACGGAAGGCTCCGGCTCCACCGCGGGACAACCCTGGGCAGGGGGCGGCCCGGGGGCCCCAACCCCGCCCCCAGCCCCCAGGCGCCTCTCCACAGAACCGGCCTCGGCCGCGCTCGACGCCGCTGCCGCTCGCGAGAAGCTGCGAGACTGTTCGGGAGGGGGGCGGGGTGCCGGGATTGGCCGGCGGACAGTGACGTCATCGGAGCGCCGGGCCGCGGCGCGCCGGGATTGGCCGGCCGGAGGTGACGTCGCAGGGGCGCCACCGGGACGGCCGGGCTGTGACGGGTCTCCGCGGCGGCGAAGTGGCGGGGCGCTGGGGGAGTCGCGATGCCGGGGCTCGGGCGCCGTGCTGCTCCCGGTGTCGCCGTTCTGGGGGCCTCGATCCCGGGGACTGACCGCGAGAGGGGCGCCCGCCTCCTGCCGGCCGCCGCAGCTTCTCGGCTCCCGGACGAGGGCCAGGTACGGGGCTGGGCCCCTGGCCGGCGATGTTGCAGGAGTGCAGGGGTCGTAAACCCACCCCCAGCCGAGCCGCAGCCATGCACGGGCTCGCGGCTGCTGGCTGTCCTCGCTGCGGGCACCGGCCGGGCGGACAGGGCGCCAGCATCACGGCAGTGACCCCGCGGAGTGGCCGCAGGCCCTGGGCGGTTGTTTGAGCGCCCGCGCTCCTGGTGGGTGAGGGTCCAGCCGGGAGCCGCGTGCGGGCGGAGGCCGCGTGCGCCGCGCCGTGCGCCGCAGTGGTGTCCGAAGCCGGCAGCTGCGCTGGGGTGGGGGGCCGCGCCGCAAGGTAACCTGTCCCGGGTGGGCGGCACACGGCCTCCCGTGGTCACTTAACTTTTTAGAAAACGATTGATATGGAAGTCGCAACCCGAACCCCAACCCCAACCCTGGCGAGGGAGGGAGAGTCAGAGGCCTTCCGTCTGCGGGGTCACTCCCCAGCCGAGGCCGGGCCAGGTCACAGCCAGGAGCGGGAGCTTCTTCAGGCTCTGCCCCGTGGGTGCGGGGGCCCAGGCTCTCGGGCCGTCTTCTGCTACTTTCCTAGGCGCGTTAGCAGGGGGTTGGGTCAGAGGTGGAGCAGCCGGGACCCCAACCTGTGCCCGCATGGCACCGCAGTGCCGGCCCCCAGCCATTTAACTTCATGAAAATCAAGTAGAATTTGGAATCCGGCTCCGGGTTCGCTCACTGCACCGTCTCGGGCTGGGGGGGGGGGGTGTCGGTCGTTGTGACGTCACCGCGACGCCTGGTTCTCTGGACCTGCCACAGTGGGAGGAAATAGGACTGTGTCCTCATGGGCACAGGACCGTGGGAGCCGGGCGGGAGCCCGTTCACGGGGCACAGGACCGTGGGAGCCGGGCGGGAGCCCGTTCACGGGGCACAGGACCGTGGGAGCCGGGCGGGAGTGTATTCACCGGGCACAGGACCGTGGGAGCCGGGCGGGAGCGTGTTCACCGGGCAGAGGACCGTGGGAGCCGGGCGGGAGCGTGTTCACCGGGCACAGGACTGTGGGAGCCGGACGGGAGCGTGTTCACCGGGCAGAGGACCGTGGGAGCCGGACGGGAGCGTGTTCACCGGGCAGAGGACCGTGGGAGCCGGGCGGGAGCCCGTTCACGGGGCACAGGGCCGTGGGAGCCGGGCGGGAGCGTGTTCACTGGGTACAGGACCGTGGGAGCCGGGCGGGAGCAGGTTCCCCGGGCAGAGGACCGTGGGAGCCGGGCGGGAGCCCGTTCACGGGGCACAGGACCGTGGGAGCCTGGCGGGAGTGTATTCACTGGGCACAGGACCGTGGGAGCCTGGCGGGAGTGTATTCACTGGGCACAGGACCGTGGGAGCCGGGCGGGAGCGTATTCACTGGGCACAGGACCGTGGGAGCCGGGCGGGAGCCCGTTCACCGGGCAGAGGACCGTGGGAGCCGGGCGGGAGCGTGTTCACCGGGCAGAGGACCGTGGGAGCCGGACGGGAGCGTGTTCACCGGGCACAGGACCGTGGGAGCTGGGCGGGAGCCCGTTCACCGGGCACAGGACCGTGGGAGCTGGGCGGGAGCCCGTTCACCGGGCACAGGACCGTGGGAGCCGGGCGGGAGCAGGTTCCCCGGGCACAGGACCGTGGGAGCCGGGCGGGAGCGGGTTCCCCGGGCACAGGACCGTGGGAGCCGGGCGAGAGTGTATTCACTGGGCACAGGACTGTGGGAGCCGGGCGGGAGCCCGTTCACCGGGCACAGGACCGTGGGAGCCGGGGGGGAGCGTGTTCATGGTACTTGTTCACTGGTGACTGTGGCCTTGGTGTTGTGTCCAGGTGATTCAGGTCACGTGGGTAGAAATGGGAGGAAGATTAAGGAAAATGTGGCTGAGAGGCGGCCCCCAGTGCGCGGCCACAGTGTGCTGGGTGGTCAGTGGACGCTGCTGCCTGGCCGGGGCAGGGTGGACGGGGGGTGGCTCAGCATCTCACGCCTAGGTCTGCGCTGGCCGGGGCTCAGCCTCCTGCCCTCTCTGGGCGGCGGGGCGGGGAGGGCGACTCAGGCCCCGCCCACTGGCCAGGCCAGACTGCCGGGTGGTCTGTCCACTCTGGCTTCCCTGCGCCCGGCTGGAGACCCTCAGCGGTGCTTTATTGTTTGGTGGATTTGGGGCACCAGGCCGTGTCCCCAGCAGCAGGCCCCGGTGGTCCCGGTGGTCGCGGGACTCCCACCTCCCCCACCTGAGGGGCAGGTGCGGGCTGTGTGCTGTGCGTGAGTGCTGGTGTCTGAACTGCGATGCCTGGTTCCAGATGCCCGCGTCCCGGTGAGCCCGCTGTGTCACAACTCCGTCCCGGTGAGAAGGGGCAGAGGTGGACGTGGGGTCAGCGAGCCCGTGGACGGGGACTGCAGACGCCACCCTGGGAAGAGTTGGGAGCAGGTGCAGGGGCGCCCCTGGTTCCCGGGGGGGGGGGCAGTTTCCTGAGAGCGACCCCAGCAGGTGCAACGTGGGACCCTGACGCCACGCGGAGTGTCCTGTGTGCGCGTGGTCGCAGGGGTTTTTATTTTACTGGAATATTTTTATTTACCGGAAAGAGTAGCAGAGAGCTCCGTTCACTGGCTCACTCCCAAACACCCACAACAGCTGGGAGTGGGAGCTCCACCTGGACTGGGGTGGGAGGCAGGGACACCAGGACTTGAGCCACCGCCTCGGGCCCCACTGTGACTCACCACTGCCCTGCACTGTGCTCACCACACCACGGGCCCAGCTCACCACTGCCCCTGCACTGTGCTCACCACACCACGGCCCAGCTCACCACTGCCCCTGCACTGTGCTCACCACACCACGGCCCCAGCTCACCACACCACGGTCCCAGCTCACCACTGCCCCTGCACTGTGCTCACCACTGCCCTGCACTGTGCTCACCACACCACTGCCCCTGCACTGTGCTCACCACACCACGGCCCAGCTCACCACTGCCCCTGCACTGTGCTCACCACACCACGGCCCCAGCTCACCACACCACGGTCCCAGCTCACCACTGCCCCTGCACTGTGCTCACCACTGCCCCTGCACTGTGCTCACCACACCACGGCCCCAGCTCACCACACCACGGTCCCAGCTCACCACTGCCCCTGCACTGTGCTCACCACTACCCCTGCACTGTGCTCACCACTGCCCTGCACTGTGCTCACCACACCACGGCCCCAGCTCACCACTGCCCCTGCACTTGTCTGTTTCACCCTCTCCTGCTGCCTGCAGGAAGTCTTCTGGCACTGGGGAGACTCCTGGGTCTGTTTCCTTTCTTTCTCTCTCTTTTTTTTTTTTTTTGTTGGACAGGCAGAGTGGACAGTGAGAGAGAGAGACAGAGAGAAAGGTCTTCCTTTGCCGTTGGTTCACTCTCCAATGGCCGCTGCTGTGGCTGGCGCACCGCGCTGATCCGAAGGCAGGAGCCAGGTACTTCTCCTCGTCACCCATGGGGTGCAGGGCCCAAGCACTTGGGCCATCCTCCACTGCACTCCCGGGCCACAGCAGAGAGCTGGCCGGGAAGAGGGGCAACCGGGACATAATCCAGCACCCTGACCAGGACTAGAACCCGGTGTGCCAGCGCCACAGGCAGAGGATTAGCCTAGTGAGCCGTGGCGACAGCCCACAAAAAATCTTAAAAGAAAGGAAACAGGGCCGGCGCCGCGGCTCAGTAGGTTAATCCTCCGCCTTGCGGCGCCGGCACACCGGGTTCTAGTCCCGGTCAGGGTGCTGGATTATGTCCCGGTTGCCCCTCTTCCAGGCCAGCTCTCTGCTGTGGCCCAGGAGGGCAGTGGAGGATGGCCCAAGTGCTTGGGCCCTGCACCCCATGGGAGACCAGGAGAAGCACCTGGCTCCTGCCTTTGGATCAGCGTGGTGCACCGGCCGCAGCAGCCATTGGAGGGTGAACCAACGGCAAAGGAAGACCTTTCTCTCCGCTCTCTCTCTCTCTAACTCTACCTGTCAAAAAAAAAAAAAAGTTTATTGTGTTATTTGGAAGCGTTTCAGAGAGGGAGAGACAGAGAGAGAGAGAGCTTCCATCCACTGGTTTACTCCCCAGATGGCCCCAGCAGCTGGGGCTGGGCCAGGCCAAAGCCAGGAGCTTCCCCCGGGTCTCCCACGCGGGTGCAGGGGCCCAAGGAGGACTTGGGCATCTTCCACTGCTTTTCCGGGCTGTAGCCAGGAGCCAGATCGTAGGTGGAGCGGCCGGGACTCGAGCTGGCGCCCAGATGGGATGCCGGGACTGTAGGCGGCGGCTTTACCGCTATGCCACCCGGCGCCAGCCCCAGGAGCGGTGACTTAGACTTGAGACCGGTTGTGGCAGCTCCTCTGCCTGAGCTCCCAGTGACCTCCGTGGCCTTCCTGCCCTCACAGCTCGACCTTGACCTGCCGTCCGCGGTCGCTCACCCGTGAGCTCTTAGCTTCCGAGACCCCGGAGCTGCGTGCTTTCCGTTCTTGGCCTTGAGGGTCTGTGCTTTCTCCAGAAGTTTCTCTGCTGCCGCCGCTGCTATTCTAGGAGCAGTGTGTGTGTTTGGGTCACCCCGGCAGCCAGGCGTCCGGGGAGACACACTGGAGCTGCTTTCTGTGGGTTGCGTGTCTGCAGTCCCCCCGGGACAGCCACTGGGCGGGCTGAGCCCCGCGCCCGCCCTGGGCCCTGCGATTTTTCGGGTGTTCCCTCTGGGCTGGCTGCTGCTCGGGGGTGGGGCCGTGCCGGGCCAGGCTCGCCCGCGCAGGCCTCGGGAGCTGCCGGCTGACAAGAGCTTTCCTGGGCGGGCGCTGGCCTGTGGGGGGTGCCGGTTAGGACACGCGTGTCCCGTGTCGGGGGACCTGGGCTCCTCCTGGGCGGGCGCTGGCCTGTGGGGGGTGCCGGTTAGGACACGCGTGTCCCGTGTCGGGGGACCTGGGCTCCTCCTGGGCGGGCGCTGGCCTGTGGGGGGTGCCGGTTAGGACACGCGTGTCCCGTGTCGGGGGACCTGGGCTCCTCCTGGGCGGGCGCTGGCCTGTGGGGGGTGCCGGTTAGGACACGCGTGTCCCGTGTCGGGGGACCTGGGCTCCTCCTGGCTCCGGCTCCCGATTCCAGCTTCCTGCTAGTGCAGACCCCAGCCCAGCTCGTGCCATCGTGCACACGTGGGGAAGGGTAGAGGAGCGTCCCCCCCCACCACATCAGAAATTTAAAAGAGCCTTTTCCCTAGGGAGTTGGCCTCTCGGGCTTACGTGGGAGCTGTGAAGTCTCAGTTTTCAGCGTCCAGCTTGGGCCAACAGCACCGAGCCCCACTGTCTGCCACACACAGTCTGATCCCTCCTGTGCGCCCCCCCCAGCCCTGTCCTCTCGTGTGCACCCCCAGCTGTACACCTGTACCGCTCCCCTCTGCACATGTGGCTGCAGCAGGTATTGCTGGCGTCCCGCCCGCACCCTGTCCCCTGGCCTCACGCGCTCAGGGACCTTGCGCAGCTGGGCCTGCCCTGGGCCGTGCGCGTGCTTGCCTGCGTGAGGGCGCTGAGAGGTCCAGCCCCGTCCCCTGGCCTCACGCACTCAGGGGCCTTGCGCAGCTGGGCCTGCCCTGGGCCGTGCGCGTGCTTGCCTGCGTGAGGGCGCTGAGAGGTCCAGCCCCGTCCCCTGGCCTCACGCGCTCAGGGGCCTTGCGCAGCTGGGCCTGCCCTGGGCCGTGTGCGTGCCTGCCTGTGTTAGGGTGCTGAGAGGTCCAGCCCCGCTGTGTGGCTGGGGCAGCTGCACTGTCGGGCTGTGCTTGTCATGCCCTACCTTGGCCCTGCCCACCACTGTCTTAGTGCTGTTTTCTAAATTTTTATTTATGTAGTTACCTTATGTATTTGAAAGACAACACATTCCTATCTACTTAGCCCACTCCCAAAATGCCTACCACAGCCGGGGCTGGGCCAGGCCGCAGCCAGGGCCCAGGGGCTCCTTCCCGGTCTCCCACCCTGGTGTCAGGGGTCTGTGCTCTCACGTGGGTGTGGGGATCCGTGCTCTCCCACCCTGGTGTCGGGGATCCGTGCTCTCCCACGTGGGTGTCGGGGGTCCGTGCTCTCCCACGTGGGTGTGGGGATCCGTGCTCTCCCACGTGGGTGTCGGGGGTCCGTGCTCTCCCACGTGGGTGTCGGGGGTCCGTGCTCTCCCACGTGGGTGTGGGGATCCGTGCTCTCCCACGTGGGTGTCGGGGGTCCGTGCTCTCCCACGTGGGTGTCGGGGGTCCGTGCTCTCCCACGTGGGTGTCGGGGGTCCGTGCTCTCCCACGTGGGTGTCGGGGGTCCGTGCTGGAGCTGTCCCTGCTGCCTTCAGGGTATGCATTGCAGGAGGCTGGATGGGGAGTGGAGCAGGACTGAACCCAGCGCTCCACCGTGGGTGCCGGCGCGAGTAGTGGCTCCGCACCCAGCACCTGCCTGGGGCGTTCCTGACCGACGGGAAGCTTCCTTTGCTTTACCGTTTGTCGGCGCTTGGCTGTGGGGGCCGGCGTCGGCCTGCAGTGTCGGCGCTTGGCTGTGGGGGCCGGCGTCGGCCTGCAGTGTCGGCGCTTGGCTGTGGGGGCCGGCGTCGGCCTGCAGTGTCGGGTGCCGGCTGCAGGGCTGGTGTCTGATCTCAGGGCAGCAGGCCGTGCCCCAGCTGCTCCGTTTCCAGTCCAGCTTCCTGCTGATGGCGCCTGGGGAGGCAGGGAGACGGCCCAGCTGCTGACCCTGCACCTACGCGGGAGACCAGATTGGAGCTCCTGGCTTCGGCCTGGCCCAGCCCGGCCTGTTGTGGTCACTTGGGGAGTGAGTCAGCAGTTGGAAGACCTCTCTCTGTCTCTCTCTCTCCCTCTCTCAACCTCCCCTGTTCTCCCCCTCCTCTCTTTAGGAATGTCTTTGATGTCTCCTTAACCAGCACTCCTCTGCCCAAGGCTGGCTCTGTGGGCAGTTCCCGTCCCGGGGCCTGGGGCGAGGCGCTGGCGAGGCTGGCTCTGTGGGCAGTTCCCGTCCCGGGGCCTGGGGCGAGGCGCTGACCAGGCTGCTTCCTCAAGTCCTCAGGTCCTGGTGCGCCCGAGAGGGGTGCAGGGGGAGACGTCCTGCAGCTGGCCTGTGCCTAGTGCCGGGGAAGTTTCTGCATCCGGCACAGACACCCTGGACCACAGCTGCAGCCACGGGAGCCACCCCGCCATCAAGGCTGGCTGAGGGGCTGCGCAGGGCCGGCTGAGACTCCCGGGGCCTGGTCACTGCCCAGCCCAGTGTCGACCTTACGTGCCTCGTGTCAGGGCTGTGGTGAGTGTGATAAAGCTGCCGACTCGTTCTGTCTGCCTCCCCAGCTGTCGTACTGCGCCGCACCGGCGGGGAGTGGCAGAGGCTGAAGGCTGGGCTGGCTCCTTCTGAGCCTGGGGAGACCTGCCGTGTGCGGCGTCCCCTGTGCGTGCCCAGGGCCCCCGGCGCTGCCGTGTGCGGCGTCCCCTGTGCGTGCCCAGGGCCCCCGGCGCTGCCGTGTGCGGCGTCCCCTGTGCGTGCCCAGGGCCCCCGGCGCTGCCGTGTGCGGTGTCCCCTCTGCGTGCCCAGGGCCTGTCTCCAGCACGCTGTGAGCCCCCTGTGCACAGTAGGGGTCCAGGGTTCCCGCTGCAGCTGTGCGGCTGGTGTCTGTCCAGTCAGCGGACGTGTGAGCTGAACTCGCCGTCGTGAAGAAGGGGAGGGGGGAGCTGCTCCCCACGGCGTCTGGCTGTGTCCGTGCTACCCTGAGCCAGCCTGGTGAGCGTGTGACCCCGGGGTCGGTGCACGCCGATGTGGCCGTGCCCTCAGGGCCTTCGGTGCCCGTCCCCCTGCTGGCTGCCCTGTGGCTCAGGTGCTGTCCGGGTGGCGTGGGTGGGCTGAGCGACTGGGTCACAGGAGGGGCCGGGCCCCAGGTCACTCCAGCACAGGGGGCGACCATGCACCCGATCCTGAAGCTACTTGTTTGGGGTCTTGGAGGCCGGGACGTGGCATTGCCCGTCCCCAGTCCTGTCCCCTGGCGGCTTCTGTGGTGATGCCCGCCTCACCGGGGCCAGGGTGGATCTAACGGGACGCCCCCGGTCTGCGGAGGAGGGAGGTGCAGCGATGGCCCCCACCCCGTGCGCTGGGACGGTGCTCGTCCTGTGCTTTGTGCTCCTGGGCGTGGCTCCCGTGCCTGAGACCCTGCAAAACCCTTCCGGCAAGATACAGACCCCGCAGGCAGAGGCCGCGAGTGCACCCAGGTGAGAGGTTTGGCAGCAGAGAATAAAGTGGATTAAAGAGCAGAGGAGCTGAGGAGCCGGGCAGGGGTCAGGTCGGTCAGGGGCCCGGGCTTCTGGAAGCTCCTGTCCGCAAAACACCAGACAGCGTGCCCCTGGTGGCCGCACCCGGCCCACCGCCACTGTGCCCCTGGTGGCCGCACCCGGCCCACCGCCACTGTGCCCCTGGTGGCCGCACCCGGCCCACCGCCGCCGTGACAGGCCGGCCTGTGAGCGCTCAGAGAAACTTCCGGAAGTGCTTGACGTCCCAGCAGCAGGAAGAGGCTTCCGCGAGCAGCAGCGCTCATCCGGGCTTGGGCTTGGGTGTTGGCGTTCTAGAGGAACGAGCAGAGGGGGCGGCAGGGGCCGAGCCGGAGTGCGGGAGGAATGGACGCCCTCGTGCGCGGGGCCGAGCCAGGAAGGGGACGCCAGCACTCAGGTCCCGGGCGCGGGGAAGCGGGTGACAAGGTGACCGCGCCCCTGGCCTGCACAGCCGCCCTGTGTGCACCCACATTCACTGCCTTTGCTTCCGCAGCTTTCGTTTTTGTTTTAAAGATGTGTCTGAGAGGCACAGTTACAGAGAGAGAGAGGCCTGCATCCGCTGGTTCACTCCCCAGATGGCCACAGCGGCCAGAGCTGCGCCGATCCGAGCCGGGAGCCAGGAGCTACTTCCGGGTCTTCCGCTGCTTTCCCAGGCCACAGCAGAGAGCTGGATCTGAAGAGGAGCAGCCGGGGCTAGAACCAGCGTCCATATGGGATGCCAGTGCCACAGGCAGAGGCTTGGCCTGCTACACCACAGCGCCGGCCCAGAAGTACCGTTTTGAACGGCCTTTAGATAAACCAAACCGCAGCAGAGGCAGGTGAGCTCCAGTTAGCGCTCGGAGGCCTCGTCCCGCACCGAGCGCTGCCTGCCGACAGGGTCTGCCTGCCCCTAAGGAGGGGCTCCCTCTCCTGCTCCTGGGCGCATGACCCCGAGAGCACAGCTGTGGCCTGTGGGACCTAGGGAAGAGGGAGGCCTGCCAGGCCCCGGGCCTCAGTGGCACACGGCGCTGGCTGCGGGTTGCTGACGTGTGGCTGAGACGTGGCTTCTGCCCGGTGCTTCAGGGCGGCCAGCACTCTGCTGGCCACACGCAGCAGGCCCGGCGGCCTTGGGTCTTGGCTCTGCTGAAGTCCGGTCTGTCCAGCTTGTCCCCATCTGCCCGCCCCACCCCCAGGCTTCGGGGGGAGGGGACTCGGACTCTGGGAAGCTTTGTCTAAAAGCGGCTGTCCCCCAGCTCTGGTGTGGGTGGTGCCGCGGGTGGACCTGGGATGCTGTGTCCCCCAGCTCGGGTGTGAGTGGTGCCGCGGGCTGGGTGCTGGGATGCTGTGTCCCCCAGCTCGGGTGTGGGTGGTGCCACGGGTGGACCTGGGATGCTGTGTCCTCCAGCTCGGGTGTGGGTGGTGCCGCGGGCTGGGATGCTGTGTCCTCCAGCTCGGGTGTGGGTGGTGCCGTGGGCTGGGATGCTGTGTCCCCCAGCTCGGGTGTGGGTGGTGCCGTGGGTGGACGCTGGGATGCTGTGTCCCCCAGCTCGGGTGTGGGTGGTGCTGCGGGTGGACCTGGGATGCTGTGTCCCCCAGCTCGGGTGTGGGTGGTGCTGCGGGCTGGGTGCTGTGTCCCCCAGCTCGGGTGTGGGTGGTGCCATGGGCTGGGTGCTGTGTCCCCCAGCTCGGGTGTGGGTGGTGCCGCGGGCTGGGTGCTGGGATGCTGTGTCCCCCAGCTCGGGTGTGGGTGGTGCCGCGGGTGGGTGCTGGGATGCTGTGTCCCCCAGCTCGGGTGTGGGTGGTGCCGTGGGTGGACGCTGGGATGCTGTGTCCAGCTTGGGTGTGGGTGGTGCCGTGGGTGGACGCTGCGATGCTGTGTCCAGATCGGGTGTGGGTGCTGCCGCTGGCTGGGTGCTGTGTGAGGTAATCACACGTCGTTCCAGAGGTCCAGGAGTCTGCAGAGGGGCCCGGCGCTGTGGTGCAGCGGGTGAAGCTGTCAGTGGCCCCGGCATCCCACCTGGGTCTGGATAGAGGGCCAGCTGCCCCACTTCCGATCCCGCTCCCTGCTAATGGCCCAGGTGGTTCCGTCCCTGCACCCGCGTGGGAGGCCCGGAGGGAGCTCCTGGCTCCTGCCCCTGCCCAGCCCCTTGCAGCCATTTTGGAAGTGAACCAGAAGACAGAAGAGCCGTCTCTCCCCTCTCTCTCTAATCTGGCTTTCAAATAAAGGAAACAAATCTTTTTGATAAGGAAGTAGTTCACATACCTGCTTATTTTTGCCAGGGGAAACACAGGATGGTGGGAACTCGTGGGGTTGCTCACGTGGTGGTGTGGACGGGCAGGAGTGAAGTCGTGGGGGGGACCACGGCTCTGCCACGCCTTCCTGTGCTTCGCTCACCTGAGCAGACGGGGGTGGGGGGAAGCGGGTGGGCGCACCCGAACTGCGTCCTAGGGCAGAGGGGACGGGCGGGCGGTTTTTCCCGAGTGAGCCGCCGGTGTGCGGGGTTCATGGTTGCCATGGGGACGACTCAGCTGCTGGGTGCCTTCGACTCCTGGGCCTCTGCTCCCACCAGGAGGAGCCCTGAGCCCACCGGGACCCAAGCCCCTCAGCCCTGGCCGCCACCGCCCTGCCTCCTGCCCCGGACGTTTCGTGTGAGAGGAGCCTGCTGGCCTCTGCGTCCGTCCACGTGGCCACGCGTGTCTGTCCATGGTGGGGCCGTGTAGCTCTGTGTGGAGGTGCAGCCTGGGGGCCGTCGCTGCCCTTCAGTTCCTGTGGGTGGTGTCGGGGGTGGGGGAGACGGGGCTGCAGGGTGGGGGGCTGCCACCCCACAGCAGAGCTCCCCACGCCCAGCCAGGACTGAGGTCTTGGAAGCACCAAGCCTGGGTGGTGCGCAGTGGGTGACCCCAGCAGGCAGAGGCCGCAGGGACGTCCACGGGAGGATACCGTTCCCGGGATGGGGGTGGGAGGGTCACCTGCAGGGTGTGGCTCGTCTGGCATAGCCGACGTCACCAGCTGACGCAGAGGCCGCCCTCGGCCAGCACTGGAGAAAGCCCCGGGCCCTGGGGAGCTTGCCACTGAGTTGGTCTTGGGCTGCGTCCGTCCACTGCGACAGAGCTTGGGGCTCTTGGGAACAGATCCTCTGTGCCTCGGCGAGCCCAGCGGGTGTGCACGCCGGAGCAGGTGACCCCAAGGATGACATTGGCTGGCTGGTAGGCGGGGCCTGGCCCATGTGTGCCTGGCACTGGTCAGCCATGGCCGTCCCCCAGGAGGGAGGGCCACAGGCCGCGTCAGACAGCAGAGACGGCAGCAGGCCCTTCTTGCGCCCTCTGGGGTCATCTTACGCAGCCCTGGGGGGACCACCCGGCCACCTGATCCGGCCCCCCACTCCCTAGAGGCCTTCGCACACCAGGACTGGGTTGGGGCCCTGCCCCATTCCTGCACCACCAACCCATTAGCTGATAGTGTGAGACAGGGTTCGAAGGTCAGCACGTGTGTGGGGAGGCCACGGCAGGTGGGCAGCAGCCCCAGCCCCCCATGCTGTCGCGGGAGGCTGCCAAGACTGCTCCTGTGCCCAGCCTCAGCCCGGCGGCCCTCCTCACTCCTTCAGAGGCTCTGGGGGCACAGCCATGAGTGCCAGTGCCGGCACGTGCTGAGTGGGAGCCCCTGAGCCCTGCACAGCCGCTGGCCCTGGGGTAGGACAACTGGGCTGCACCTAGCACGGGAGAACTGGAGCCGGAGTGCACCCTGGGGGGCCAGCAGCCCCCTGTCCTGCCCAGGGCCTGTGCTCACTCCTGCCGGCACCTCACCGGAAGGGACAGTGTCTCAGAGGATGTCCCAGTGACCCTTCTTCTAGCTGCACCAGCAGTAACTGAGTGGCTCGGATGTGAGTTCAGAAACTGCGGTGGGCTTTGGGTGGGCTTCCTGAGTCCTGGGAGGCCTGGTTTATACCTGGGAGGCCTGGTCTACATCCTGGGAGGCCTGGTCTACACCTGGAATGGCTGGTCTACACCTGGGAGGCCTGGTCTACACCTGGGAGGCCTGGTCTACATCCTGGGAGGCCTGGTCTACACCTGGGAGGCCTGGTCTATACCCTGGGAGGCCTGGTCTACATCCTGGGAGGGCTGGTCTGCACCTGGGAGGCCTGGTCTACAAGTCTACACCCTGGGAGGCCTGGTCTACACCGGGAGGCCTGGTCTAGATCCTGGGGGGGTTGGTCTACAGGTCTAGACCCTGGGAGGCCTAATCTACATCCTGGAAGGCTTGGTCTACGCCTGGGAGGGCCAATCTATACCTGGGAGGCCTGGTCTGCACCTGGGAGGCCTGGTCTGTACCCCGAGAGGCCTGGCCTACAGGTCTACACTCTGGGAGAGCTGGTCTACACCTGGGAGGGCTTGATCTACACCCTGGGAGGCTTGGTCTACAGGTCTACACCCTGGGAAGCATGGTCTACACCCCGGGAGGCCTGGCCTGCACCCTGGGAGGGCTGGTCTACAGGTCTACACCCTGGCAGGGCTGGTCTACACCTGGGAGGGCTTGATCTACACCCCGGGAGGGCTGGTCAACACCCAGGAGGGCTGGTCTACAGGCCTGTGTGTGCTGCTACAGGGCAGCCTTGAGGAAGGGCTCTGCTGCCCCTGAACCTTGTACGGCGCTAGGCCCCGCACTGCTCTGGTGGCTCCCCGCGCCCTGCCTGCTCTCACTCCCCACACCCTGCACTGCTCTGGGGGCTCCCCGCGCCCTGCCAGCCCCCTGGGGCTCCCTGCTCTGTTGGCCCCGTAGCGCCTCCCTGCTCCACCAGCCTGCTGACGCCACAGCACAGAGGCAAAGCAACAGACCTCTGTCCGCTGGTTCCCTCCCCGGTGTGTGCGGCTGGGCAGGCTGGAGCCAGGGCTGGTCTGAGTCCCCTGCGTGACCACCCCTGGGAGCATCCCAGGCAGCTGGGTCGGAGCCGAGCAGGCAGGAGTCAGGCCGGGCACGTGGGTGCCTGCCCGCTGCCGTGTGCGACTGACCGTTTGGGTGGCTTTCTCAGTTGATGTCCGTGGGACAGTGGAAGGACCTGGAGAGAAGTCAGGCCTTGGCGTAGTGGGCGGAGCCTCTGCCTGGAGTCCTGACTGCTCCTCCCCCACCTGGCCGGGAAAGCAGTGAGGAAGCGCCTGACTCCTGGCTCCGGAACGGCCCAGTTCTGGGGGTGAACCAGTGGATGGAAGATCTCTCTCTCTGTGTGTCTCTAACGCTACCTCTCAATTTTAAATAAATAAAATCTTGGAGCTGGCAACGTGGCATAGTGGGCTAAGCCTCCACCTGTGGCGCTGGCATCCCATGTGGACACCAGTTCGAGTTCCAGCTGCTCCTCTTCCGATCCAGCTCTCTGCTATGGGCCGGGAAAGCAGTAGAAGGTGGCCCAAGTCCTTGGGCCCCTGCACCCATGTGGGAGACCAGGAAGGAGCTTCTGGCTCCTGGCTTTGGATCAGCGCAGCTCCAGCCGTTGCAGCCATCTGGGGAGTGACCCAGTGGACAGAAGACCTCTCTCTGTCTCTCACTGTCTGTAACTCTACCTCTCAAATAAATGAAATCTTAACAAAGCTAAGCACCAACTTAGGTACATTTGTATGTGCGTGTGGATGAGACCCTGGCCGCGCAGGGGGTGGCTCCCGGGGGGGGGTGTTGTTAGGTAGGAAGTCGGATATGAGCTTGTGTGTGTGTGTGTGTGTGTGTGTAACAATGGCCAGCATATGCGTCTGCATCTCAAAGTCATCCTGACAGTGTTTCAGGGGCAGCCCGGCCTTCGCATCCTGCCCTGCCCCCTTCTACCTGATAACCTGCCAGGTGGGGGCCCCGCCCCTTCTGCCTGACAAATCTTCCACAGTCTCCCAGGTGCAGCCCAGCATCTGCATCTCAAACACCCTGCTCCGGATCCCCATTCTCTAGGGGGTCCTGCTCACCCTTCCTCTGAACCCAGGATGGCCCAGCTAGGCTTCCTCCTGTCTGATACCTGCAGGGGAAAACTCAGATAGGAGCTTCTTAATATTTACAGCCATAAAATGCTGGCCGGCGCCGAGGCTCACTAGGCTAATCCTCTGCCTTGCGGCACTGGCACACCGGGTTCTAGTCCCAGTCGGGGCGCCGGATTCTGTCCAGGTTGCCCCTCTTCCAGGCCAGCTCTCTGCTGTGGCCAGGGAGTGCAGTGGAGGATGGCCCAAGTGCTTGGGCCCTGCACCCCATGGGAGACCAGGAGAAGCACCTGGCTCCTGGCTTCGGATCAGCACGGTATGTCTGCCGCAGTGCGCTGGCCGTGGCGGCCATTGGAGGGTGAACCAACGGCAAAAGGAAGACCTTCCTCTCTGTCTCTCTCTCACTATCCACTCTGCCTGTCAAAAAAAAAAAAAAAAAAAAAAAAAAAAAAAGCTTTGTTTCAGGAGGAGATGTGTGAAGACAGCCTCAACTGGGCAGCGTGCTCAGCCCTCTGCCGAGCCGCCCGCCTGCCTGGCCAGGTGTGATCTCTCCACTCAACCATGTAACCTCGCTCCTTCCCCCCGCCCAGTCTGAGCGACTGGGCACCCTGTCAGGCTCTGTCTGGAGAGGTGCCCATCCGTCCTTACGGATGTCCCTGCCCTAATAAACCTTGCTGTTTTACCTCCCACTACTATGTCTCACGCCTGAATTCTTTCTTGCGCGAAGACAAGAACCCTGCCATTCACCGGTAAGTGTGAGACCCTGGCCGCGCAGGGGGGTGGCTCCCGCGGGGGGGGGGGGTGAGACCCTGGCCGCGCAGGGGGGTGGCTCCCGCGGGGGGGGGGTGAGACCCTGGCCGCGCAGGGGGGTGGCTCCCGCGGGGGGGGGGGTGAGACCCTGGCCGCGCAGGGGGTGGCTCCCGCGGGGGGGTGAGACCCTGGCCGCGCAGGGGGGTGGCTCCCGCGGGGGGGGGGTGAGACCCTGGCCGCGCAGGGGGGTGGCTCCCGCGGGGGGGGGGGGTGAGACCCTGGCCGCGCAGGGGGGTGGCTCCCGCGGGGGGGGGGGGTGAGACCCTGGCCGCGCAGGGGGTGGCTCCCGCGGGGGGGTGAGACCCTGGCCGCGCAGGGGGGTGGCTCCCGCGGGGGGGGGGTGAGACCCTGGCCGCGCAGGGGGTGGCTCCCGCGGGGGGGTGAGACCCTGGCCGCGCAGGGGGGTGGCTCCCGCGGGGGGGTGAGACCCTGGCCGCGCAGGGGGGTGGCCCCCCCATCCTGGGAAAGACACCCCCCTCCGTTTGCTCCAGGGCCAGGCTTGTGCCTCTGCTGGCTCTGAGCGTCCGCGCGCTCCCGACCCCAGCTTCCTGGGGACAGTACCTGGGCCCCTGCACCCACGTGGGAGGCCCAGTGTGGGGTCCAGGCTCCTGGCTGCAGCCCGGCCCGCAGCCCCGACCTCCGATGGAGGAGACCCTGGGCCTGTTGTGGCACAGGCCTGGCAGCCTGCGACGCCAGCACCCCGTGTCCGACGCGAGCTCCCCCACGCCGGGGCCGTTGCGGGCATCTGGGGGAGGCTCCGCCATTCCGCCTTTCAAACAAGTCTAAAACTCAACTTGAGCAAGGGTCCCGACTGTCTGCTACTTATGGGCCGACGGTGAGCGAGGCCCCCGCGGCCCGGAGCGCAGTGCCCGCCTGAGCCTCCCCGCGCGGTGTGCGGGACCGCGGCCACGCCGGAGACCCGCGCCCTCGCACGTGTGCGGCCGCGGCGGGACTGGAAGAGCTAGTTCCCTTGGCAACCAGCGGCTCTCATAGCAACCAGCGTCCCTTAGTGATGGCGTCACCAGTCAGCGCCTGCACCGGGCACCGCCCCCGTGCGGCGGTCTCCTGCCATTGGCCGGCGGGTAGACGGAGGCAGGCTTTGCCCAATGAGAGGCGGCGCGCGCCCGAAGGCGGGACTGGCGCGTACCTGGGCCGAGGGACCCTGCCGGAAGCCGGGTGTCGGCGGCGCAGCCGGGGAGCGCTGGTGGGCGCAGGTAGGCGCCGGGGGTCCGCGGCCTGGTAGCCGGGCAGGCCACTCCCAGCGCGAGTCTGTCAGCTCTGGCCTCCCTGTGGAGGCCCGCGGCGGCATGGGGGATGGTCCCGGGGCGCGCGGCACGGCTCCCTCACGGGGTCTGTCACCCGGCGAACACCTGTCGGCCGGCACGTGTGAGCGACCTGAAGGCGGGCCGCGGGGCTCGCGTGGGTCCGGCCTCCGAGCGTCCCTCTGTGGGCCAGAGGCCAGTGGGCTGTCCACCGTGAGCGTGGCCTCTCTTCCGTCGTTCCTCCCGCCGGGGACTCTTGAGGTCCCTCCTGGGTGTCGGCTCCGGTGGGGACGCTGGGGCCACAGCCGTGAGCGCAGGGCCGACGAACCCCGGCCCGGCACCCTCGGTTCCGGGGGCTGCGCGACTTGCTGCCGCTGGGACGTTCCAGGCAGGGGAGGCAGGTGCAGGGGGCGGGCGGGACCCGCACCTTTGTGGGGACTCTGGGAGGGGGACTTGGCTCAGGTCTAGGTATTTTAAATTTTGGAGTTGGCTGGAGGGGCGAGGGCGGGGTGAGCGCTCAGGCGCAGCTCGTGTGGGCGGGAGCCTGTGGCCTGCAGCCAGTACTCGGGGCGGAGGGGGTGACCGCGTCCGACTCGGGGTGCGTGCAGGGCCAGCGAGGTCTGGTGGGGGGCGGCAGCCAGGCTGGACTCAGCAGACGGGCGTGGAGGGGAGGGCCCGAGGTGGCGGGGAAGGCTGGACGCTGTCCACAGGGAAAGCCGCCGAGTGGTCGGTGCGTAGAGCCCCTCTCCGGCCCCCTGAGATCCCGAGGCAGTGGCAGGGCGGGAGCGGAAGCTGGGGTCCTATGCTGTCCCCAGAGGCTCAGTGGGGGTGCGCCGAGGGGGAGGGCTCGCCCGGGGCCCCCGCTGCCGGGTCAGGGGAGTCGCGCGTTGGGGAGACTGCCACTGATTGATTCACTTGCAGGGAAGGGCTGGGGGCGCCCCTGCACGGGGGCGCGTGGCCGTGGCGCGGCGCGTGGAGGTTCCCGCTGCTGGCTTCTGTGTTTGGAGAGGGGAATGAGCGCCGTGCGCTGGGCCCGGGAGCGCAGGAGGTGGCAGTGGGTGAGCGATGCGGAGGGTGAAGGGTGGTGCAGCGGGGGCGTCAGAGGTGCCAGGCGCTGGAGAGGCCCCCCGAGCCCAGCGGTCGGGATCGAAGCGGAGCCGTGCGGAGTCCCCGGCCTGGAGTGGACAGGTCTGGCCTGAGCAGGTGTGGTGTCCGGGTTGGGTAGACAGGGACCGCGCCAGGAGAGGAGCCCCCGGGAGTGAGGACGACGGGTGTGAGCGGCTAGAACCAGGTTTCCATGGTACCCTGAGGGGTGGGCTCAGGTCCATGGTAACCGGGTTCAGGCAGCGCAGCAGGGGCTGGGAGGCCGCCGTCGGGGGAGGGGGGGCGGGCAGTCGGGCCTGGTCGCCCAGGGGTCTCGGGCCTCCCTCTGAGCGGGCAGGCAGTCGGGCCTGGTCGCCGAGTGGTCTGGGGCCGCCGTCTGAGCGGGCGGGCAGTCGGGCCTGGTCGCCCAGGGGTCTGGGGCCGCCGGCTGAGCGGGCGGGCAGTCGGGCCTGGTCGCCCAGGGGTCTGGGGCCGCCGTCTGAGCGGGCGGGCAGGCGGGCCTGGTCGCCCAGGGGTCTGGGGCCGCCGTCTGAGCGGGCGGGCAGGCGGGCCTGGTCGCCCAGGGGTCTGGGGCCGCCGTCTGAGCGGGCGGGCAGGCGGGCCTGGTCGCCCAGGGGTCTGGGGCCGCCGTCTGAGCGGGCGGGCAGGCGGGCCTGGTCGCCCAGGGGTCTGGGGCCGCCGTCTGAGCGGGCGGGCAGTCGGGCCTGGTCGTCCAGGGGTCTGGGGCCGCCGTCTGAGCGGGCGGGCAGTCGGGCCTGGTTGTCCAGGGGTCTGGGGCCGGTCCTCTGCCCGCCCGCAGCAGGGCTGACAGCGGTGTCGGGTGAGAAGTGTGCCCGCTGTGGGGATCTTGAGGTTTGCGCACTTTCTTCCCTGCGGCCTGCTTCACCTTCCAGGGCAAGTATAAGAAAAAATAAACATCCTTATATCCTCTCTAAAATGGTAGTCTTTCACTGTGTTTCCTTTGTACATGTCTGTACCTTTTTTTTAAAGATTTTATTTTATTTATTTGAGAGAGAGTTACAGACAGTGAGAGGGAGCGACAGAGAGAGAGAAAGGTCTTCTGTCCATTGGTTCACTCCCCAAATGACCACAACGGCTGGAGCTGCGCCGATCAGGAGCCAGGAGCTTCTTCCGGTCTCCCACGTGGGTGCAGGGCCCAAGCACTTGGGCCATCTTCCACTGCCCTCCCAGGCCACAGCAGAGAGCTGGATCAGAAAAGGAGCAGCCGGGACTAGAACCAGCGCCCATATGGGATGCTGGCACATCCTCCACTGCTTTCCCAGGCCACAGCAGAGGGCTGGATCAGAAGAGGAGCAGCCGGGACTAGAACCAGCGCCCATATGGGATGCTGGCACATCCTCCACTGCCCTCCCAGGCCACAGCAGGGAGCTGGATTGGAAGTGAAGCAGCCGGGTCTTGAACTGGCGCCCACATGGGATGCCGGTGCTGCAGACAGCAGCTTCACCAGCTACACCACAGCGCCGGCCCCTTGTAACTTTCTCACGTGGCGGGCGCTTGGGTCTGTGCCCATCTCTTCTCGGGACAGTGTTGTGCTCCAGCAAGTGCCCTCTGATCGTGCCTGTTGGTGGCTGTCACAGGCGTGTTGGTGGCTGTCACAGGCGTGTTGGTGGCTGTCACGGGCGTGTTGGTGGCTCTCACGGGCGTGTTGGTGGCTGTCACAGGCATGTTGGTGGCTGTCACGGGCATGTTGGTGGCTGTCACGGGCGTGTTGGTGGCTCTCACGGGCGTGTTGGTGGCTCTGTCACAGGCATGTTGGTGGCTGTCACAGGCATGTTGGTGGCTGTCACGGGCGTGTTGGTGGCTGTCACGGGCGTGTTGGTGGCTCTGTCACAGGCATGTTGGTGGCTGTCACGGGCGTGTTGGTGGCTCTGTCACAGGCATGTTGGTGGCTGTCACAGCCGTGTTGGTGGCTCTGTCACAGGCATGTTGGTGGCTGTCACGGCCGTGTTGGTGGCTCTGTCACGGGCGTGTTGGTGGCTGTCACGGGCGTGTTGGTGGCTGTCACGGCCGTGTTGGTGGCTCTGTCACAGGCATGTTGGTGGCTGTCACAGCCGTGTTGGTGGCTCTGTCACAGGCGTGTTGGTGGCTGTCACGGGTGTGTTGGTGGCTGTCACAGCCGTGTTGGTGGCTCTGTCACAGGCATGTTGGTGGCTGTCACGGGCGTGTTGATGGCTCTGTCACAGCCGTGTTGGTGGCTCTGTCACGGGCGTGTTGGTGGCTGTCAGGCATGTTGGTGGCTGTCACGGGCGTGTTGGCTCTGTCACGGGCGTGTTGGTGGCTGTCACGGGCGTGTTGGCTCTGTCACGGGCGTGTTGGTGGCTCTGTCACGGGCATGTGTGGCTGCCGTGTGCTCACAGGGATGCTCCGGGCTCGTGTGCCAGGACAGGCGTGTGGCTGTGGTGCGTGGTCCCTGCTTGCTCCCAGCTGGTGGGAGCAGGAGTTGGACCATCATGTAGCAGAAAAGTATCCCGAATATTCACGAATTAGTGAGTAGATGGATTTCCACCTCTGGGAAGTTAAGGTACTGTCACAAAACCCAGTATTATTCTGCACCTTAAAATCTCCCTGTTGTGGCTGGCATTGAGGTGTACCTGGTAGGGCCTTCAACTGTAACCCAGCATCCCGTATGGGCGCCAGTTCGAGACCCAGCTGTTCCACTTCTGATCCAGCTCTCTGCTGTGGCCTAGGAAAGCAGTAGAAGGTGGCCCAAGTCCTTGGGCCCCTGCACCCACGTGGGAGACCCGGAAGAAGCTCCTGCTCCTGGCTTCGGCTTGGCCCAGCCCTGGCTGTTACGGCCCTCTGGGGAGTGAACCAGCAGATCGCTCTCTGTACCTTGGCTTTCAAATAAATAAATCTCGGCCGGCGCCGCGGCTCACTAGGCTAATCCTCCGCCTTGTGGCGCCGGCACACCGGGTTCTAGTCCCTGTCGGGGCGCCGGATTCTGTCCTGGTTGCCCCTCTTCCAGGCCAGCTCTCTGCTGTGGCCCAGGAAGGCAGTGGAGGATGGCCCAAGTGCTTGGGCCCTGCACCCCATGGGAGACCAGGAGAAGCACCTGGCTCCTGCCTTCAGATCAGCGCGGTGTGCTAGACCTGGCGGCCATTGGAGAGTGAACCAACAGCAAAGGAAGACCTTTCTCTCTCTCTCACTGTCCACTCTGCCTGTCAAAACAACAATAAACCAGAAAAAAGAAACAAGTGTGCCAGTGTATCCAGTTGACTGTAGATGGGGAGATTGTGGGGTCAGCTTCCTTCTAGGCTTTGCTAGGTGTCGGGGGCAGGGTTTGAAGAAGGCGAGGCGGCCAGGGAGGCTTCTGGGAACGCACCTCACCTGTGGTGGGGAGGGGGAGCCGCAGCCCAGGTGGGACCCGCACAGGCAGGTGCTGGTGTTGGGGGCAGGGTTTGAAGAAGGTGAGGCTGCCGGCAGGGAAGGCAGGGTAGACTGTTCCCGCTGAGCCCGGGCAGAGGGCGGGGCTTGGGGGCCAGGCTTCGTCCGTCCCTCCGAGCCGCAGGTGCAGCCCCTTGAGCCGCGTCCTGGGGAGGTGCGGAGCCCCAGGGACGCTGAGAAGTGGGTGGGCGTGCAGAGGGCTCCTTGGTGAGGTCTGCGCGCATCCTCTTAGCTGGGACATCCCCAGGAGTCCGCGGTCAGCGTCCCCCTCGCCTTTAGGTCCCGGCGCCAGCGTCGGGCCTGGGGGTCGGCCCAGGGCCCTCGGTTCTGTCAGCTTCTACACGTGTTCTCTACTTCCTGTTTGTTTAGAGTTCTGTCCCTGCTTTGTCTGAAGCTGCACCAGCAAAGACCTTTTATTCCGTACGTATTCTCCCTCACAGGATGGCAAAGCAGAAGAGAAAAGTTCTCGGAGGGACAGAGGAGCAGAGCAAAAAACGGAAGAAGGCGCCAGCAGAGGGGCCAGGGCAGGCCCCGGAAGCCAGGCCGGACGCGGGGGAGCCAGGCCTGCAGGTGAGGCTGCCGCGGCTGCTGGGCCCCTGGCCGGGCAGGAGGCGGCCGTGCCGGGACCTCTCGGCGCGGTGGATGTCGGGCTGGAACTGTGACTGCTGTTCTCCGGGGGCCGGGCCGGGGCTGCTGTGCGGGGGCCACCTTCTGCGGGGCTCAGCTGCACGGACAGGGCCTGCGCGTGGAGCAGCACCCTCGCGTGTCCTCCATCTGCGCTGTTCCGTGGCGAGCTGCTGTGGGGCAGGGTCCTGCGTGTGCTGTGCAGCTGATCCCCTGCAAGACCCCGCCCCCAGAGTCACGCTGGGGCGGGCGCCCGTCCTAGGTGAGCCTGGTGTCCCGTGTGAGTGCTGAGTGGCGGTCGGCACAGACAGGCCCGGGACGGAAGAACTGCCATAGCAGTGTGGCTTTCTTCCCTCAAGTCTGAGGCTGATGTGGCCCCTGGCACAAATCGCCCGAGAGGGCTGCTAAAGATCCGTGTCCACGTGCGTCCCTCGTCTGCACGGGCCTCTGTGTGTCCCGAACACGTCCTCCCCCTGCTCCTCCTGGTGAGAGACACCTGCCTCTGCTCCTGGTGAGAGACACCCCCCCCTCCTCCTGGGTGAGAGACACCTCCCTGGGACTCCTCCTGGTGAGAGACACCTCCCTGGGACTCCTCCTGGTGAGAGACACCTCCCCCTGCTCCTCCTGGTGAGAGACACCTCCCCCCCCTCCTCCTGGTGAGAGACACCCCCCCCTCCTCCTGGGTGAGAGACACCTCCCTGGGACTCCTCCTGGTGAGAGACACCTCCCTGGGACTCCTCCTGGTGAGAGACACCTCCCCCTGCTCCTCCTGGTGAGAGACACCTCCCCCCCTCCTCCTGGTGAGAGACACCTCCCCCTCCTCCTGGGTGAGAGACACCTCCCCCTCCTCCTGGTGAGAGACACCTCCCCCTCCTCCTGGGTGAGAGACACCTCCCCCCTCCTCCTGGGTGAGAGACACCCCCCCCTCCTCCTGGGTGAGAGACACCTCCCCCCTCCTCCTGGGTGAGAGACACCTCCCCCCTCCTCCTGGGTGAGAGACACCCCCCCCTCCTCCTGGGTGAGAGACACCTCCCCCTGCTCCTGGGTGAGAGACACCTCCCTGGGACTCCTCCTGGGTGAGAGACACCTCCCCCCTCCTCCTGGTGAGAGACACCCCCCCCTCCTGGGTGAGTGACACCTCCCCCTGCTCCTCCTGGTGAATGACACCTCCCCCTGCTCCTCCTGGTGAGTGAGCCATTATTAAAATACTCGCTGATTAGAAGCTTGGGAGACGAGGGAAGACGAACATGGGGTGGGCGTTCTCCGTGTTTCTTGGTGCCAGCTTTTGGCTTGGTTTGTAGCTGCAGTTGGCCCCCCTGGGGGTGTGTGGAGAGCGATTTGCTGATTTGCCGGTGCCGGGCTGCCGTAGGGAGCAGCCCGGCGCGCTCCTGTTTCCTGGAGCAGCCAAGGGCGGCCAGCAGGGGGCGGCGGCCATGCTGCTGTGCCCCGCAGCCGGCCTGGGTCGGCTTTCCTGCAAGGCCCCAGCCCAGGCTGCTGTCCAGGTGTGGAGGACCTCGGGTGGTCTCTGTGGCTCCGGGGTGGGGTCCCCACGTGCCCTCCTGTCCCCTGGAGGCCGAGGAGGCCGAGGCGGTTCTTCCGAAGAAGACGGCTTGGTCCCTGCTGAGAGGTCTGCGCTCACGCTGGGGTTCTCGTGGGAAACTGCTGAGAAGGGGCGGGCCTCTGCAAGCTGAGCTCCGCGTCTGGGGGGCGGGCCTCTGCAAGCTGAGCTCCGCGTCTGGGGGGCGGGCGTGGGTGCTGCTGGAAAAATACTGCGCTGCTCCACCGCGCGTCCGGGATCCGCAGTGCGGATGGAGGAGTCCCTGCCCGCCCAGCGTGGCCGCTGGGTTCCTCCCAGCAATGTCCAGCTGGGAGCCTGCCAGTCAGCCGGCGGCTCCCTGGACCCTGTCCGCCGCTTCCCACAGCACAGGGCTCCGTGCTTGTGCCAGGATTGTCACAGTGTCCCCGATGCCGGGAACTTCACTGCCCCTGGGGGAGCCGTTTCCATAGAGCCCCGGGCGTGGCTCGCGGGCCTGTGGGGGCGTCTGGGCTGTGCGCGTCTGTTCCCCACCCCCGTCTGGTCTGGGCTGTGCGCGTCCTGTCCCCCACCCCCGTCTGGGCTGTGCGCGTCCTGGCCCCCCCCCCCCCCCGGTCTGGGCTGTGCGCGTCCTGTCCCCCCCGTCTGGGCTGTGCGCGTCTGTTCCCCCTGTCTGGGCTGTGCGCGTCCTGTTCCCCCCGTCTGGGCTGTGCGCGTCCGTTCCCCCCGTCTGGGCTATGCGCGTCCTGTTCCCCCCATCTGGGCTGTGCGCGTCCTGTCCCCCCCCCCCGTCTGGGCTGTGCGCGTCTGCCCCCCCCCCCGTCTGGGCTGTGCGCGTCCTGTTCCCCCCGTCTGGGCTGTGCGCGTCTGTCCCCCCCCCCCCCCCGTCTGGGCTGTGCGCGTCCTGTTCCCCCCGTCTGGGCTGTGCGCGTCTGTTCCCCCCCCCCCGTCTGGGCTGTGCGCGTCTGTTCCCCCCCCCCCCCCGTCTGGGCTGTGCGCGTCTGTTCCCCCCCCCCCCCGTCTGGGCTGTGCGCGTCTGTTCCCCCCCTCGTCTGGGCTGTGCGCGTCTGTTCCCCCCGTCTGGGCTGTGCGCGTCCTGTCCCCCCACCCCGTCTGGGCTGTGCGCGTCTGCCCCCCCCCCGTCTGGGCTGTGCGCGTCCTGTTCCCCCCGTCTGGGCTGTGCGCGTCTGTCCCCCCCCGCCCCCCGTCTGGGCTGTGCGCGTCCTGTTCCCCCCCCCCCGTCTGGGCTGTGCGCGTCCTGTTCCCCCCGTCTGGGCTGTGCGCGTCTGTTCCCCCCGTCTGGGCTGTGCGCGTCCTGTTCCCCCCGTCTGGGCTGTGCGCGTCTGTTCCCCCCCCCGTCTGGGCTGTGCGCGTCTGTTCCCCCCCCCCCGGTCTGGGCTGTGCGCGTCCTGTTCCCCCCCCCCCCCGTCTGGGCTGTGCGCGTCCTGTTCCCCCCGTCTGGGCTGTGCGCGTCTGTTCCCCCCCCCCCCCGGTCTGGGCTGTGCGCGTCCTGTTCCCCCGTCTGGGCTGTGCGCGTCCTGTTCCCCCCGTCTGGGCTGTGCGCGTCTGTCCCCCACCCCCGGTCTGGGCTGTGCGCGTCCTGTTCCCCCCGTCTGGGCTGTGCGCGTCCTGTTCCCCCCGTCTGGGCTGTGCGCGTCTGTCCCCCCCCCCCCCCGGTCTGGGCTGTGCGCGTCCTGTTCCCCCCGTCTGGGCTGTGCGCGTCTGTCCCCCCCCCCCCCGGTCTGGGCTGTGCGCGTCCTGTTCCCCCCGTCTGGGCTGTGCGCGTCTGTCTCCCACCCCCGGTCTGGGCTGTGCGCGTCCTGTTCCCCCCGTCTGGGCTGTGCGCGTCTGTCCCCCCCCCCCCGTCTGGGCTGTGCGCGTCCTGTTCCCCCCCCCCCGTCTGGGCTGTGCGCGTCCTGTTCCCCCCGTCTGGGCTGTGCGCGTCCTGTTCCCCCCCGTCTGGGCTGTGCGCGTCCTGTTCCCCTCCCCCGTCTGGGCTGTGCGCGTCTGGAGTGTGTGCAGCTGCTGGGCTGCGTGAGGGGCTCCAGGGTCCCTGCCTCAGTGCCCCAGAGGCCCTTGCGAGCGACGGGCAGGACACGTCGGTGCTCTGGTGGCTGGGCCCGAGGACCCTAGCTTTGCCCTCCCCGCCTCCCATGTCCCAGCTTCTGGGACGTTCTGTCTTCAGGAGACTCCAGCCTTCCAGGGCTGGTTTCCTGCTTGCAGCTGGTGAGGACGGAGTTCTAGAAGGCAAATGAGTCTGCGGGGCTGTCCAGGGCAGCAGCCGCATGCCCGGGCTGGCAGGAGTGACAGGTTGCAGTGCCCTGGGAGGGCGCTTCGGGGGCTGTGTGTGACCAGGCGGCTGGAAGGCTGGGCGGGGGTGGCCAGCCACCGCTGAGGTGGGAGGCAGCAAAACGGCTTGTTGGGGCCTTGATTTCCTGCTTCTGTGGCCAGGCAGAAGCCGCCCAGCCTGTGGGCGGAGGCCGTGGACTCCAAGGCAAGCGCGTCGTGGCAGTGGCACGTGCCCCGGCAGGGGTCGCACCGGGCACAGCCCGGAGCCCGCGGTGCGCTGCTCCAGCAGAGCTGCTGCCTCCTGCCAGTCGGCCGAGACAGAAAGTGACGGAAGTTCTCCCTCCTAGAAAGGCAGACTCAGACAGGGAGGGAGGAGAGGGAGGGGGAGCATGCATCTGTTGGTTTATTCCCTCAGTGGCTGTAACAGCAGGGGCTGGCCTGGGACTCCATCCAGCTCTCCCACGGGGGTGGCAGGAGCCCAGGCACTGGGGCCATCTGCTGCTGCGTTCCCGGGCCCCCGGCACATGAGCAGGGAGCTGGATTGGAAGTGGAGCTGCTGGGACTCGAACCGGTCTCGTATGGAATGGCCGCATCACGGGTGGTTTCCTAAGCCGCAGCGGCCTAACCTGCCGCGCCACGGTGCAGATTTTATGTGTGTATTTGAAAGGCTCGTCTCCTCCTGGCGTCTTCCCCGGGGTGCCCCAGCCACGGCCTGACCCGCTGCGCCTGTGCCCCTTGGGGCTGCTGTCGGGGTTTGGAGTGCGCCTCTGCCGGTGTGTTCTGAGGGCACTGCTGCCGTGCAGGGACACCTCCGCCCACTGGGACGGACCTGGCGTTTTGTCCGTTGATGGCCTTGGACTAGGTTGTCAGGTAATGACAGTCCTCCAGGAGAGACTGAGTGCCGTGATCTTGGGCAGTGTCGTGTCACGGTGGTGCTAGCCCTTGGCACGTCTCCCGCCGCACAGGGCGGCTTGCTCGGGTCCGTTGCACCGCGGCCTTTGGGCTTCTCTTGGATCTGGAAGGGGTGTAACGCTGCCGCCACCTCAGGGCCCAGGGCTGGGGACGGGGCGCTGTTCCTGCCGTGGGCGGCAGGGACTCCTTGGCCTGTGTGTGGTAACGTGAC